TTCCCCAGCCAGCACAGCTGGCTGGGAAATTCTGGGAGTTGAAGTCCACCCATCTTCAAGCGGCCAAGGTTGAGAAACACTGCTCTAAGCTGACGGTCCAGCAAGATTTGTTCTGCCCGAGGCTTCTGCACTCCCACCGTCCCAACACGGTGGGCAGACTCGGACAATCAAATGTCCCTTGTGCCCCTTCTTCCCAGCCCCCTCCTCAATGAACCACATTTTGGAAGACACACGCTTGTAACTTAGCCAAAACACGAATGATAGTTCCCCCCCACCCCACCTCCTGCAGACAGCAAGACCTTTACGCTCCTGAATGCGTCTGCCAAGAGAAGACCCTCCTTCCTCTCCAGAAACAGACCCGATTTTCAGAGGTCCACCTTCACCCGATGAGCAAGTCAACCTGGTTTCCAGCCCCGATGGCGTATTCCTTCAGGCACTGACCAGCTTGGGTTCACACGCCCCGTTATCCAAACTAACTGAGGGGGTCGTGCTGTGCAAACGCAGCTCTCCGTGCCCAGCCATCGGGGGCCCACCCAGCCCCTAAATCAACCTGTTTCCCAATGCAGCGGTTCTTGGGTGCCACTTCTAATGTTCTACCAATGTTCACTTTCAAAGGTTGCTAATGAGCACCGGGCATTGAGGGCCTATTTGGTCCACATCAACAGCCCATCTGGATCTGCTGGCCAGCAACGTGGGCCCGGCGTGGCCGTGGCTACAGGAATGCAGGAACAGTAAAAGGTTGTCCAGTCTCAGGTGGAGATGCCTTCTTGAACCTTCTCCCTGTGCAGAGCAGACAGTGGGGGACTGTCTTCGCCCCGGTCCTCCCTTTTGGAAAATCCCTGCAAGGCACGCCACACGCCAAACAGGCAACCTATTTTCCAGGAAGCTGACAGCCCCAAGTGAAAGCCTTGAAGAAGACAACGGAAGTGCAGCAGATGAAACAATCAGCCACAGCAGTAAGAAGTTGGCTCCGGACACAGGCGGAGGAAGGTCTGAACAGAACAACCACCACCCACTGAACGTTTCATAACTGAAAAACCTCAAGGTACATGAGCAGAAAGATATACATTTCCTGGGTTTATACAATACAGGCAGTCCTCGCTCAGTGACCCCAACAGGGACCAGCAATTCAGTCATTAAGCGAAGCGGCTGCTAAGTGAAACGGCAACTGTGCTTATGATTGGACTTCAGTTTTCCTTTGCTTTACAGACCTGTAAAGATCATAAAAGCGAGGATTGGTTGTAAAGTTACTTTTTCATCTCCATTGTAACTGCAAATGGTCACTAAATGAGGCAGTCGCTAAATGAGGACTACCTGTACACGTAATCATACATTACAAGTAGTCCTCAACTTATGACCACAATTGAGACCGGAACTTCCGTTGCTAAGCGATGTGGTTGTTAAGTGACTCACACCCGACTTTACAACCTTTTTGCCATGATCGTTAAGAGAATCTGGCTTTCCCCATTGACTCTGCTTGTTGGAAGCCCCCTGGGAAGGTCGCAAATGGCAATCACTTGATCCCAGGACACACAACTGTCATAAATACATGCTGGTTGCCAAACACCCGAATTTATATCATGTGACTGTGGGGATGCCGCAACAGTCATAAGTGCAAGGACCAGTCACTAGTCACTTTTTTCAGTGCTGTCATAACTTCAAACAGTCGTTAAATGAATGGTCATAAGTTGAGGACTACCTGTACGCAAAAGGGTAACCAACTAAGATTAAAACTAAGCAAATGTATCCTGCTGTGCAATTACTAGATCTCAAATTGATCTGGTGAAGCATGCTACATGAAGAAGATCTGCAGATCATCTATCATCCACAAAGGGGGACAGGGCATCAAAAAAGTCAAAATGGCATCCATGACCACACAATCAAAGCCCATCATGTTGACTTTTTGAGGTCCCCCACCCATAGGCACTCCTGTCCATGGACATCGACAGGCATCAGCAAAGGCTTGCAAGAGCTATCACGTATGTTCTGGCGACAGATATCTACACGTCTTAAAGCCTGCTGGCTGGGGAATTCTGGGAGTTGGAGTCCACGCATCTTCAAGTTGCCAGTTTGAAAAACACTGTTTTAGAGCTGGCTTATCTCACCCTCAAGGAGTTCCAATTCTGTGCCAAGTGGAGAATTTCTTTGCCCATCCTTCAGCGAGGGCAGGACCGAAACGGGGCACGGCTGACCCGCAAAGTGAGCCGGCAGAGATTTCCAAAATTCTCAGCATGTCGGAGAAAAGCGAGAAGGGGGACAAAGCTGCAAGCCACCCACGCCGTTGCTCCCGCCTGGCCTCGATGGAGATTTGGGTTTTATTGAGAATCTGCCCATCGTTCCTTGGATGGTGAGAGGCCGTGCCTGCCACGCGGCTAGAAATGCAGCAGGCCAGCCAAAATAACGACATTGCTTTCTTTTCAAACCGACTCTGAGCGCAAGAGGTCATCCAGGCGAACAGACGCAGAGCAAACTGGAAACTGCACTGTGCGTTGCCGTTGCGTAACGTGGGGGTCATTTTCCAAGCCATCAGAAACCAGCCCTCCCCAGGCTTGGTGAGAGAGTTCGGGCTTTACCAGTTTCCAGGAGAGGAGGGGGGCGGTATTTCGTGGGAAAGGGCAGCCGTGGCTAGGAACTCTCTTTGCAGCAGAAAGTGGCCACTACAGTCACTTGAAATTAAGGACAAAATGGCCCATTAAGATAGTAAAAAAAAAAAAGAGTTTAATCTTCTTGGGACACAGAATATCTATCAATCATCTATCAATCAATCACATATCTATCATCTATTACCTATCTATCTATCTATCTATCTATCTATCTATCTATCTATCTATCTATCT